CCTGATAATGCAAATATATTGATATCTGTGCATTGACGCAGTTGTGTTGCGTTGCCTTTATGTTTTCTTTTCTTAAATTACTTAATATTGATTTGTACACTTTATTGTCACATCACGTTTTAAAGGGCCAGTGTGTAATATTTGGCATGGTTTATAGTCAATCTGAATCTGAATCTGAATATTCTACCCATTAATATGTTTATACAAGTGTATGATCGCTATAAAATAAAATTTGTTTGGTTTTCGTAGCCTTATAATTATGCTTTTATATATATATAGCAAGGGCCTTGCTTTAGAGAGGTCGCCATCTTGCGCCGCCATGTATGTATGGCAGACCGAGCGGACAATCCAGCTAGCCAGATAAACATAAATAAACATTCACCTCGTGGCTAGATAGTCCTACTCCTGAAAAACTCGTACGCAAGGCTTTTTGTCCCTACGAGGCCACCATCATTTACCCGAAGGGAGGGGTGAGTGAGTGAGCCCTGTAATCTAGAATTTGACCACTGATGTCACTGTTTCCAACGGTTTTCAACCCATTTTACACACTGGCCCTTTAACTTAATGCTTTAATGTTAAAAAAAATGTTATTTTCCTCCAACTGTCTGTGCTGGAACACCTTTATTCACCCTCTGTCTGAAACACTCTGGGTTCATCCCATTATCTCTCCTCAACTCCTCTGTCCTCTATCCTCGATCACTTAACTCGGAAATCGATCAAGACTCGCCATCTTGTAGGATGCCCCAATACATTAAATGCACTTGGAGGAGTTGCGGAGAGAGGAGCCTTTCAATGGAGAGGAAAGCAAGGATACACGAGCTCAGCCTTTGTAGAGGTCGTTTACCGACTGACACACACCCCTGATTGGATATAAGTTACTGATTGGACAGCGCAGCGCTGTAGCTGATCAGACTGATCTGATACATGTTAATCAGTTGCCACCTTCATCAGAAACGTCGCTTCATGCAGGGCCGTACGTGGATTTTTTAAATACCGAGGTCATTTAGTCGTGGTGCACGTGGGCGGGTCAGAAATTTTTGTCAATTATATATCAAAAGCCTTCAATCTGGTGTACTTTGACAGCCAAATTAAGAGGCTACATCTATAAAGAACTACACACATCATATTAGATTAATCCCATCTTATCATGTTTCTCTTCCCACTTCATACTATAGCGAAATTGCCTTTCACCAAACTTTTTTTGTGGGTGTTTATAATTATGTTTGAACCACTTATTCTTTAGCAGGAAGTACTTCTCTTCATCTGTCAGTTGTCAGTTATATTAATTTTTATATCAATGAAAAAAA